GTGTCGAGTCAGGTCTTCCTCAGTGAGCCATCTTCTCGAATGAGTTCGAGCTCGAGAAGATGGCTCACTGAGGAAGACCTGACTCGACACGAAGGCGAAGCTGCAACGTCGAGACGAACAACAAGTATGGACCATCGACTCGGATCATCGGCACTGACGAAGACGAAGACGTCGAAACAGCCGAAAATCAATAAATATCATTATCAACCTCGTGTAAGCTCATCAAAGAAAGAATACATATTGATTATTGATACCGATGTTCAAGGAAAGTCGGTTTCGAAATATCTACATTTAGATACTTGGACCGCAACTCCTCACTGGTTGTGAGTACAATTTCCACTTTCCCGAAGTTTTGCTGGTTTAGTCATTGTGGTTCCCGGGAATCCTCAAGTCAGCCAGGTCAGTATGCCCGGGTCATCGCCATCACAGGAAGTCGCCGCCCTTGTGGATCAGAGGGAGATTTGCCAAAATGCGACTAGTTTGATACCAAGACGGTGGTGGATCCTGGTATTGGTTTACTCTTATCTGAGGTTCCCGATAGAAACTCCGAACTCCTTCCCAATTTGGGAAGACCTGCTGTGGAAACGAATGCCCTCGCTCTACATCGCAGTCCGACACAAAGGAATACTCAGCCACGATGAGGCGGTAGACCGTTGGGAGGTACCATATTCTACGACCATGTAAATGACATCGCAAGCGATAAAAATAGCTCGGTAGTAAAATAGGTTGTTCAAACATAAAATATCAACACGAAATAAAATCGACTCCGTCAAATAGCAGGTTATTTACCAGGGAAACCATTTAGTTCCGTAGAAGTTACTGCAGATTGCACCACTGCATACGAAGGAGAAATCGTTGAAACAGTACTAGGCTAAAATGGAAACATAGTATATTGTCAAATTCACAACGATGAATAAGTAAAACGACCTACGGCACTTGGTTCCCTTTCGAGTGTTTGCTGAACAATCGCTGAAGCCGTAGCGTGTTGAAGAGCGCGACGCAAGCCTGCATTCAACACTCCATCCAACTCCTCAGCATCACAACACATATCTGACAGTCCATCAACAGCCGTTCCTTTTCCAATGGGCAATATTTGACAGGAATCCACTCCATATACAGAGCACATTTCATTGAACAAAGCAAGTGATCTGTGAATAACAGACTGCTCAAGAAAGAAAGTGGAAAGCCAATTGTTTCATTCATTACCTTGCCTCATCGTCAACGGTCACGTCGTATAACAGAAGATAGTGTTTCAGTGTGTTCGGTGTAGTCCATTTTGGTGTAGCACAATGAGATGGTGTAAGACTTTTCGATTCACCCGATGAGTGCTAAACCGTACACGGTGAAACTATGGACACAAGGCTGAACAACCAGAAAACACTAGCAATAGGTCCAAGATTTCAGCATACACTCGATATGACAGGATCCTTGTATTCAAAACATAGGAGCAACGACAACATCGTGACTCTGGTGAAAACATAACAAACTGTGTGCGCGCTCCTGATTCAGTTGGCCAGGGATTAAGTATCGTTTATTGATCTTTCGTTCGTGCCGCACCACACAACCACGCCCACAAAAGCGTGCGCTCGTTGCTAGAAAGGATTCAATATGAAATCGCCGACAGGCCTTACGTCGTGGGAATGTTCTTGTGTGGCAAGCTAACTTAAGTTAAGGTTAGTCAACAAGTTAACTTGTAGAATGAAGTAGTTAGAGAGGCTTTAATAACAAGGGAGACGAGTAGCAAAATTGGGGTAATACCGACTAATGAACGAGTCAAGCAAATTAGGGGAACGTTATTTAAACAACGGATTGAAACATACAAATCACAGAAGTACAATGTTAGAGAGGATATGGAAAGCCAAAAATTGCACAGAATCCACAGTGCGGCTATGTTAGAACATTTCTAAACAAGATGGCATCTGAACTTGTCCCACTTTTCTGGCCTATCTCAGTGACAAGCACCGTAAGGTGGTCGTTAATTCTAGGGGAAAAGTGGGAGAGATTTAGAGTTTCACGACTATTTTCGCCTTGTTGCGACGAATTCTGCCTGGACGTCTTGCTAGTTTTGGTGGAAAACGTACGAGACCGTTCAGTAGCGCAATATATCATACAAATTTATCCATTCCTGTATTAGTTGAATCTAAGCGGAAAGCTGTGAAAGCAAAATTCAACTTGGAGATGAAAAGAAAACTGATGGATTGCACAATTCAAGGCAAGAACAAGTTAGAGAACAGAGGGGTATAGAAAGCACACCACTCTCACACAGCAATGAAAGTATGAATTCATACAAAGCCAAGAGAAGGGCAAGTATGGATCGTACAAAAAGCGTAACATCCTTCCAACTTTATAAAACATGTATGAGCTGGAGACGAAAATAACAAAATAGGTTTTCGTCTACCAATCGATCAACCAGTTTGTTTGACACAATGCTATAAATAAATAGTTAAAAAATAATATAATAAATAAAAGTTATCGGAGTTGATCAATTCCTACCATGTATTCGACTTCATTAAGCATCGTTTGGAGGTGATTGAATGCATATCTGGTCTTTACAATGACTAGTGCTAGCCTATCGATGTGGCGAGCCAGTCAGTGCTGTTATCCTCTCAGACAAGTTTGGTATCAATTTGCCGACCCGGGAGAGATGGAAGGCTTGGTGAGCTTGGGGCGCGGTGATAGATCCTATGTGTGTTCCTGGACGCCTCCGACCAATGCGCTACACGTACCTTTTATATGACGTTATACGGAGAAAAAATACAAGAGTTTCGCTTACTTGTTGAGCGTGTTGCACTTGGATGAGCCTGCTTAGTTCAGCCAGCGGATTGTCCTCATTGCAAGATACAATAAAAATGCAGGCTAGATATGTACGAAATGTTTCCTGATCGACTGGCTCTCCCCACAGACGCAGAGCCGAAGAGAATCTATCGAGCGCGTCGTTCAAACTCGGTTTAGATTGCAGTACCTAAAGATACATTTACATCGTAACACAAATGCATAACATCTTATTTTAACATTTGACTGCAATCAACATAACCTCGTAAAGCACGTGAGGAAGAACTGATAAGCTGAGAAGATGTCCCTCACTGCTAAGGTCATTAAAGTTAATAGTAACATTGGCGTTGACTAACTGTGAAGTAGAAGGGTCCTAAAAACACCACTAGCAAGAATCTGACAGATCAATTTCATGTTACTAAGTTTTTACTTAGAATTATCATGCAGGTGACTGCAGATAAGGATATAATCTAAAGAAACAATGACTAAAAAATGACGACTATACACAAACACCTTCCAACGATGGAATTAGGATGAAAAGAAAGAGAAAAGGAAAGTGAAGGAACCACACCTTTACGCTAACAGAATGTGCGGCAAATGGTTGAAGCAGACGGGAGATCGAGCTGAAGCCACGACCTCTGACACAAAGTTGGGCAGCGCTGGAGGCGACGAGGGCGACGAGGGGGCTCTCCATCTGGCCACGTCTTCGGCACAGGGGACGGACGCGACGTCGACGACCTCTGCACGTCTCTCGCCACTGCCTGCTCCCTCCGCCGCACTACGCGCACACTATGCGGCGTTCCGACGTCGTCACTCTGCCTTCGCCAACGGACGAGCCTGGATCGGATCTCGAATTCCTGGGAATTGACTGCACACACAGTTATGTGAGGTGTACTCCGTGTGCACACTGTAGTGGTACGAATATGAGCGACATTTCCAGTCCTACTTTACTATGTAGTAGAGTTAGAGAGTGATAAAAGATAAAAGGATAAAGCTCTCGACGTTGATCAATCCCTGAGGGATGCGTCATGCATTCGACTTCATTAGGCATCATTGGAGGTTATTGAATGCATATCTGGCTTTTATAATGACGCGCGGTGGCCTTCCAGTGTATCGAGACAGTGCTGTTTTCCTCTAAGACAAGTCTGTTAACAATTTGCCGACCCTAGTGGGTCGGAAGGCTTGGTGAGCCTAGTGCATGTGGATCGATCCCATGTGTATTGCAGGGCGCCTCTGACCACTGCGCTACACGCGCCTTTGGTGAGCGAGTATTCCAGGAAGAAAAAAGCGAGACCGTCGGGTTATTAGATGCTTTTTTCTTCTCATATTCTATGGAATGGAATGATGAGGATAATCAGCTCTCCTTTCTGAGCTACGTGCTAACAACATCGTGTCAATTTAAAACGGACACTTCGCAATGTGATATTATCAATGTCATAGTTAGTCGAAAGTCAGTCCTTCAAATTATTGCTATAGGGACAAGGTTTTGGACCGTTTACACACGTCAGTATACATACAGCATCAGTTTTGGTCGAGGTGGACTAGGAAGTACTCTTCTCCGTCGTCACTGCTGCCTGCGAGACCACAATGCTGCTCACTTATTGCGCTATAAGTAAGACAGTACGCTAACGCTTGTTCTCTACACCATTGCTAATGCGTTTGTAAACAAGTAGTCGTCCACTGAGGAACTTCAACCAGCCAATCCCTCTTGTTAGCGTCTCTCTTTCAGATAGAGATGTTTACTTCGTGTTTCCACTGATACAACACTTCTGCAATGTTTTAGTGAATGCACTTGTACCAAAAAGGTGCTAAGATACAAGCAGAACTCTGAACCTCATGTTGGTTTCGCGATAGCCTCCGCGGGGTCTCACATGTTGGATAGCACGGTAAGACTTGATAAGGCTAGCCACGAGTTCGAAGCACAATTGTAGTTCCGAATTCTGCTCATATCTTAGCATCGTCGTGGTTGCATTTCACGTCTCACCCTACTATGAAGTAAAAAACAAAGGGTGCAAATATGAAGTAAAAACAGTGCGAAAGCACTTCTAGTTTTGCTAAAACCAAAGTCGCTGAAAATCCGATAACCAAAAGAAATTAGGCAAGTAGATCCATAACTCACAGTGTTGTTGTTTCGGTACATCTTCAGTGGTTTGTATTTGGTCGATATTTCTCATTGTTAACTCTTATATGGAGCTTTCTGATAGGCTAATTGCGTTATAAGTAAGGATCATTATTACAAAGACTTACCGGGGTATTTTGGTTATAGATCTCACTGGACGCCAAATAGTGGTTGTAATTGATCTACTTGGAGAGCGGGTAGCGCAGTAGTAATGACCGTGTTCATTAGGTGGACTGCTCAACATACCTAGAGTTTGGTTCGACCCTGCTCTAGGCTCATTAAGTCTTCCAACACTTGAGCTATGAAGTTCCTACCAGACTTGACTGGGACAAGCTCATTCCTTTTATCAATATGAGAAAAGGCCCTAGTACGGCCACCTCAAGTTTCTGGGGAAAATCGACCACAATAAAGCAACGCTCATGACGAAGACGAAAAAAGTCTCAAGCAGCTGAAGCCACACACAAAAGACTCGAAGACTGTCGCCGGTATTGGATGCGAGGAAGGGAGTCGAATGGAAAAAATGTTGGCCGCATAGTGTGAAAAAATTTATCTCCGCACATGTAATAAAAATAATATTTTACTTTTATTTTCTGCCTTCTATAATTTTTGTGGCAGGTTATTAAGCGAAATACAACCACAAGATTACTGAGATATTTGCAAAACTCCGAACCACAGGTGTCTGCGGTGGAGAACGAACACGTTATTGTCCTTTCCGGGGAGTAACGCGTTCACCACCACACCATGCGAGTCCTTCGTTTCGCCTGTCTCTCAGCTAGTTCTATCGATCAGTGCCGTCAGCAATCACCCGTCAACGGGATTGATCTGGGCGCCCCAAAAATTATAGAAGCCAGAAAATAAGAAGTAAAACAATGTGGGTTCAACTGCGGCCTCAGCTTAACTGTGTTCAATGCCGATATGGGCTCCCCAGGTCAACCCCGTTGACGGGTAATTGCTGACGGCACTGATCGATAGAACTAGCTGAGAGACAGGCGAGACGAAGGACTCGCATGGTGTGGTAGTGAACGCGTTACTCTCCGGAAAGGACAATAGCGTGTTCGTTCCCCACCGCAGACACCTGCGGTCCGGAGTTTTCCAAATATCTCAGCAATCTTGTGGTTGTATTTCGCTTAAAAATAATATTATTACAAGGATAAAAATAGTACTACATAACCCAACATTACACTTATCACACAGCACGGATAGCACTTCTTACATTCGACTCCCTTTCTCGCATCCAGTATCTGTGAAGCTTTCCGAGCTTTCTGCACATGGCTTCAACTGATGCCTGAGCATTTTTTCGTCTTTTGTCATGAATCCACGGATTCCCTCACATGAGGGACGTCGTGCCGGCTAGTCGCAGGGTACGTGGCACGTGCCCAAGTGGCGGATAGGGGTTAATCGCGAAACAAAAACGACCTTTGCGTCCCTGAGACGCTGGTGGATCCAAGGAATGGAATCCCTCTTTCTGTTGCGCCAATTTGGCGCATGCTTTCTGTATTTACGAGGCGTATTCATGAATGAGTGCGTGGGCGTGTTCTCGTTTTGCGGATTGTATTATGCGAGTCAATTCGACCAAAATCCTGCAATCAAGTGACTAAAAAGTATACGGGAGGCAGTCATCAGAGCTTTCGATTTCGATCTGTGTCTGCATAAATCTTTATCACGAAATCAAAATTGTAATAAAGGAACCCATCAGTGGAGCCGCAACAGCTAATCAACACAGACCTATACTTTTTAACGTGTGCAAGGGTATTCAAGGATTTAATAATACATTCTTGATAAAATATGCATTTTTACGTGAAAATAAGTCAGTGATTCGGTAGTCACGGCACAGTTCTAAGATTATTTGCCTGCTAATAATTCCAGCTCGAGACTGGACCGATCAGTCGCGAGGCTATGTGGCACGTCCTCAGGTGGCGGATAGTGGTTAATCGCGGGCCAAAAGCGACCTTTGCTTCCCTGGGACGCAGGTGGATCCAGGGGATGGACTCCCTGTTTTTGCTGCTCCGATTTGGCACATACTTTCTATATTTGTTAGGCGTATTCATGCATGCGTGTGTGGGTGCGTTCTCGGTTATGCGGGTTGTATTCTACGAGTCAATTCGGCCAAAATCCTGCAATCAAGTGACCGGGAAGTATACGGGAGGTGGTTAAGAGTCGCCTCCAACAAATAAGGTCCATGTCCAGACTACGGATAAGGGCAAGCTATCCGTGAGTATACCTACCCGCAACTTCAGTACCCAGCAAGCTATACGTGGGTTTGAAAAGCTAAACACAGTGAAAGAAACGGGCCTTATTTCCCTGATTTCGAAAGAGCCCCCGATTCAGCAGCGTTGAGTAGTACGAGTACGGAGAGGCTGCTAAAATATCAGGACCATTCTAGGCTGCGTAAATCGCATAGGGCGAAGGTGACGATCCGTGCCTAAAATGCATGCCCACTTGCATCTGAGTCCTCGATAGAAGATTTGATCTTGAAAACGAGAAAGACGAGGTACGACCCCATCGGACCGACCCCTTCCACTACGCTTTGTGCTAGCTGATAACACACCGACCTCTACACGATGTGCGCAATGATGTATGTCCGGG